AGTGTTCATCAGGGATATTGGTCTGTAGTTTTCTTTTAATGTGGTGTCTTTGTCTGGCTTTGGTATCAGGGTAGTTATGGACTCATAAAATGAATTTGGAATTGTTCCCTCCTTTTCAGTTTTTTGAAAGAGTTTGAGAAGGATTGGTGTTAATTCTTCTTTAAATGTTTGGGCAGAGAAATCTTTTAGATACATAAGATTGTCCTGTGCATTTAACTTAAGCAGCTTACACACTAAAAGAAGGAAATTGTATCGTTTTAAAAGCTTAATTTGTTTAAAATAACTGGCCCAGCTATAACCTACCATGAACAATCATGATGTTTTATTTGGTACTTAATTTTTTGCAGTGAAAATTATTATTAAAGTAATATATGATATGATTTTATTACATTGCACAGTGTTGAGGTGAAAATGAAAATTTTCATTAAAATATTATGTGACATAATTTCACTATATTATAGAGTATTGTATTGATTTACCAAAACTTGTAATTTGGCAAAGACATTGCATTCTTTGGATTTGTACTCCAAAAGTCTGTTATCTAGAATGTTATATTGTGGGCTCACTATGTTAAATGAAAAAGTCATCACTGAAATTTTTCAGTGATGAGTCTAAACTTAGAGGAACAGTTATTCACACCCTTGGCACTTCACACTTGCCTAACATAAAATTGCCATGTGTCAAAAATCATGCTTCACCTATTGCTAAAGCATGACATGCCCCCTTTTTTTTGTGAGGAGGATTGGCCCTGAGCTAACACCTATTGCCAATCTCCCTCTTTTTGCTTGAGGAAGATGGTCCCTGAGCTAACGTGCCAATCTTCGTCTACTTTGTATGAGGGACGCTGCCACAGCATGGCTTGATGAGTGGTGTAGGTCCGCACTCAGGATCCGAACCTGTGAACCCTGGACCACCAAAGTGTAGCACACGGAACTTAACCACTGTGCCACCAGGCCAGCCCTGACATGCCACATTTTTAATGTAATTCTTTTTTGAAGTGACTGTGACCACAAAGCATCTTTTATAAGTGAAGACCTGTACTCTGACTGATTTCCCAGGTACGTAATTCTTTGAATAACAGGAAACCAAGCAGCCAGGTTCCGCGGGCGATTCATGGGCAGGAAGGCCAGGGAAAGGAGGGGCTGTACGAGAGGCCCTCGAGGCACAGGAGGTGTATGGGCATTCGGGCAAGTTTTAATCCTGCCTCTGCTGCTGGCCAGCTGTGAGACCTTAGCAAGCATCTTAACCTGTGTGAGCCTTGAGTCTTCATCTGTGTAATGTGTCTAATAAAACCTATTTCATAGATAGGCTTGAATCTGATGTGTAAAGTAGTCGGCATGTTGTAAATTCTCAGGAAAAGTTATTTTCCTCCCAGCAATAAGAGAGCAGGGAGACCAGGGAGGACGATAGGAGCTCAGTTTTTCTGGTGAGAAAACTCTGAGAGAAGCCTTGAGGAGCAGAGAGGATGCAGATTTGGTGCTGTAGATGTCATGAGCATTGTCTGTACAAGGCACTTTGGGGGTGAGATAGCAGCGCATGTCAGTTCTTGGAGTGAAGGTGTCAGATAAGGCTTGCACAGAGGAGGTGATGCTTGAGGTGAGTCTTGAAAGTTAATATTTTCATCTATGTTGGGCTCACCCAGATAATCCAGGATAATCTCCCTATTTTGAGGTCAGCTAATTTGCAGCCTTCATTCCTCTTTGTCATGTAAAATAACATGTTCACGGGCTCCGGAGATTAGGACTTTTACATCCTTTGGGGGCAGTTACTCTGCCCCCCACAAGAATAGAGTCCAGATGCAGACCCATCTATACGGAAACTTGATTTAAGGACAGAGCAGACATAGGAAAGGACTGCCTGTTCCATAAATGGTGCTGAGACAATTTATTATCCTTACAGAAAAAATGAAATTAGGTTCTAAAGGTTCTGAATGCCGGCAGGGTGTCCTACAATTCAACTCAATTCTGATACTGTCTACCTGGAGATAGCATCAGATCCCACAGGTTAAAGGCTCCGTCATACAAGACTGCTCCTCCCCGCCTTCCGTCGCAAGTCCAAGGTGCTTCTGACCAACCAGCTATAGATTGGAGGTTCCAACAACCCCCGCCTTGGTTCAATTAATTTGCTTGAGCAACTCACAGAATTCAGAGAAACACTTCACTTACTAGATCACCGGTTTATTATAACAGGATATAACTCGGGAACAGCCAGATGAACAGATGTATAGGGCAAGGTATATGGAAGGGGCATGGAGCTTCCACACTCTCTCCCTGGGCGCTGCTCTCCTCAAATCTCCACTTGTTCACCGACTTGGAAGCTCTCTGAACCCTCTCCTTGGGGTTTTATGGAGGTTCATTACGTAGGCGTGATCAAGTACATCATTGGCCATTGGCGATTGATTCAACCTCCAGCCCCCTTTCCCCTCCCTAGAGCTGAGGCAGGGTGGTGGTGCTGCGACTGAAAATTCCAACCCTCTAATCATGCAGTTGGTTTCCCTGGCAACCAGCCTCCATCCTTAGGTTACCTAAGGGCTTCCCAAAAGTCACTTCATTAACATAACAAAAGACACCTTCATTTCTTTCATCACAGGAAATTCCAAGAATTTTAGGAGCTCTGTGCCAGGAAAGGGTCAAAAAACAAATATATATTTCTTTATTTTTTAAATTTATTTATTTATTTAAATTTATTTATTATTTATAAACATTGGTTTATAACATTATGTATATTTCAGGTGTACATCATTATATTTCAGCTTGTGTATAAACTGCATCATGTTCACCAGCAAAAGTCTAATTTCCATCCATCACCATCCATATGTGCCCCTTTACCCTTTTCACCCTCCCCCCACCCCCCTTTCCTCTGGTAACCACCAATCTGTTCTCTGTATCTGTGTGTTTGTTCATCTTTCACATGTAAGTGAAGTCATACAGTAATTATCTTTCTCATCTGACTTATTTCGATAGCATAACTACTCAGCCATAAAAAAAAAAAAAAGATGAAATCGTGCCATTTGCAACAATATGAATGGACCTTGAAGGTATTACGCCAAATATATGTTTCTTATTATAAATCAAAATATCACAGATTCCAACCTCACACAATTCCCAAGTGCATTAAAAACTTAAATGTCAACGGAAAAACCATAAAATATTAGAGGATAACATAGGAGAATATCTTTGTAACTTTGAGGTAGGGAAGAGATTCCTAAACACAAAAAATATAAACCATACAGGACAAGATTGATAAATTTGTCTATATTAAAATTAAGAACTTCTGTTCATCAAGGTCACCTTAAAAAGACAAGACAAGCCACAAACTGGGAGATGATACTTGTGACATATATGGGTGACAAAGATTTATCCAGAATGGAGGGGGGGAAAGTGTATGTATATACATATATCCATACATAGAAATATATTTTTTACACCAATGATTATGTTAAAGATAAGCAACTCAATAGACATTTCACATTAAAGGAAATACAAGTGACCCATAAGCATAGATAAGATGTTCAACTCATTAGTAATCAGAGAAGTGTAAATTAAAACTACAGTAAGATACCATTTCATACCCATCTGTCTCTCAAACATTAAAATGTCTGACAATGCCAATTCCAAGAGCTCGCTAGGACGTAGAGTGATGGGGACCCTCACAAATCCTGTCCAAGTCTAAATTGGTGGAATAGCTTTGGGAAGCAGTTTGGCACACCTAGGACCCGGGGATGCCACACCTGAGTGTCTATACCCTGGAGCATGAATTCACATCAGGGGCAGTGATTTCGCCAAAGGGGTCAAAAATCTTAGATGTTACAAAGGTTTGTGGCCCTCCAAAGAGCCACGGAGTATAAAAAACATACACTATATTTGTGGTAGTGAAATTTCATTGGGAGGATTAGGAAAACAATGTATAAAAGGGTCCTGGGGGCGATAATGAAAAAGAGGTTGAGACACCATCAGAGAGAAACTGTGGGACATGTGCCCAGGAGATGTGTAGACGTGTCTGCAGTGCCACCGTTCATACCAGCAACAACACAGTTGACAACTCCCTGTTCTCCAGCAGTACATACATACATAAAACTTGGAATATCCATAAAATGGAAGACTGTGCATCAGTGAGAATGAATCAATCACAGCTACATGAGCAGTGGAGTAGGAAAAGCCAGTCAGAGGGGCCAGCCTAATGGTATAGTGGTTAAATTCACATGCTCCGCTTCAGTGGCCCAAGGTTCACAGGTTCAGATCCTGGGCACGGACCTACACACCACTTATCAAGCCATGCTGTGGCGGTGACCCACATACAAAATAGAGGAAGACTGGCACAGATGTTAGCTCAGGGACAATCTTCCTCACCAAAAAAAAAAAAACGCCAGTCAGAGAAGGAAAGCTACTGGATGGTTCCGTTTATATAAGGTCAAACCAAGCAAAACTTGACAGAAATCAATGCTAAAACAAAGACAAGCATAGATATGACTTATAAAGAGTTTGAAATGTTGGCTATCCCTAAAGGAGAGAGGGGGGGTGGGATTGGAGTGGGTACAGGAGGTCAAATGCTAAGAATCTTGTGTTTTCTCAAGCAGGATGCTAAGTACCATAGTGTTCATTTTATTAATTTTCAAACTATCTTTGCATGTATATTCTGTATATTTCTTTGGAGATATATATATATATATGTTTCATAATAAATTATTAGCATTTTTCTTAAGGGCCTTATGCTATACCTGACACATCGGTGAATGGTTTAAAAGGAATCACTGGAGGGGGAGGGGACTCTTGAGTGTCAGACTGTGGCAAATATTTGTGTCTCCTTGTTTGTGGAGCAGATAGGGACTGAACAGTAGGGGATTAGTAGGGACGGTGTGACAGTCGACCAGTGTACGCTTTCAACCAGACCACACTTCTGCAGCCAGAATGGTCTGAGTAACTGCTTCCCAGATCTTCTCCCTTCTCTTGGAGAAGGGGCGTTTATCCAGAAAGGTTTGTCTCCTTGTCCGTGTGCCCCCACCTCAGCTCCTCTTTGCCAGCTGGTGTCTCTCCTTGCAGCCATCCCTGATAGAGTGCTGGACACGGCCATCCGTGCTGATGAGACGGGGAGCGAGGAGGACCTGTATGAAGATGTGCACAGCTCCAGCCACCACTACAGCCACCCTGGCGGGGGCGGCGAGCAACTCGCCATCAACGAGGTAGGCTGAGGGCTGCATGGGCAGGGACGGGGCTGGGACAGATGGCTTTGCCGTCAGGGCCACTCCAGCACACTCATGCAGGCCTGGATGTCCAGTCTCTATGTTCCAAGCAGATGACAGTGGCACAAACTTGCACACAGCACAGTTTCCACCTGTGGCTCTCACTTGAGGATGTGGTGTCCATGAGCATTGCTTGTCCAAACACAGGACCCTCCCCTCTGCCCTCATGGGGCCGACAGGGAACCCAGAATAGCAGGCATGACACCCAGGACCTACGAAGTAAGAGTGCTGGTCTGTCCGGTAAAGCCATCTGGACAGAAGAAGGGAGGCCAGGGCTTAGACCCCTAACCCTCCAACAAGTTGTCTGGGCAGGACTAGGGGGAAGGCAAGTGAAGATTGATTTCTTGTCTATTGACTCCAAGAGCTCAAAAAGTATTGCTGTTGCTATGTGTGTGCAAGTGATCATTTTTGGCTGTTCCTACCCAAGCAGAAGAAATTAGTGAGAAACTTCATCTAAGCAAGACTGGTGCCCATACCAAGTTCTCCTTTTGCATCCTCCAACGAGAGAGAAATTGGAGACCTGACTCTGCCCTCTTTTTCTCCCTGGTACTGCTATTTTCTCCCTCTCTTCTTTTTTACCTATTTTGGAGGGGCTGTTGAACATAATGTGGCAGTGACCTGGCTCAAGCACACATCCATGACACCACCATGTTCTCCTCCTGGTCATGACATACTGAGTATTTCTGCTTCATTCAAAGCAGATTCTGAGCACCCGAGATCTCGCAGCACCCAGAAGATTTTCTCCTCAAGGGGGGTCCATTTATGAACAGTTAGCCTTAACATTTCCGTGAATGAATGGGCTGGGAGGCTTCTCAGAAATCCTAAAGGAGTGTGGTGTCCTGGTTTCGTACGTGACAGCTGGGTGTGAACTGTCGATGGTGGACAAACTCTTCTTAGGCCCAGCTCTGAATAATGATTCTAAATAGTTGTTATATAAAGCTGCTTTCTTGGCGCAGTTGGCAGTCTCATAAAATAGTTGTTATATAATGATTTATTCACAATCCATGGTGCATAAAGAATAAACATCCAAAGAAGTTGGTTTTTTCAATAAATAAAGCCTTTAAGTGCTTCTCATAAGCTATTTTGAAGGGAAGGTGTTCTAAAATTGTATCATCTTAAGCAGAATTCACAGACAATGGTTTGGTTTTCCTTGAAGACTCAGGCTACCCTCTGCAGTCTTGGGGCCCAATGCGGGGGCAGCATGGTGTAGTGGGGAGAACCCGGGCACTGGGGCCTCCCAGACCTGCATGGGGGTTCTTCCCTGCCAGCGACCAGGTGTGGAGCTCGGAGCAGATAACCCTCTGAGCACTGGTTTACTTTCCTGTGAAACAAGAGAACCGTGAGGTTACATGAGGACTGACTGAAATAACGAATGTCAGTAAGCTGCACGTGGTGGGTTCTCAGTAAATCTCCAGTGACAAGGATGGTAAGGAAGGAGGAACACTACCATAAAGCCTTTAGGGACTCTGGAGTGGTGTGGGTTATCTGACTGGCCATCAGTGCTGCATTGCTTGAGTTCTCGTGTCTGCTTTTCATAGTTGTGTGTCTCCCACCTAATGGTGAAATTCTGGTCTGTCCCATCTTGCTGCCGGTGAGGAGGTGCCTCTTGGAGGCCTGGCAGGCTGTTCATTCTAAGATGCTCTGGACGAGGAGAGGCAGAGTCAGGCCTGCTCTGAGAGAACATGGGCTCAGGCAGAGGGCACCCGTCGAGGGAAAGAGGGGCTAAGATGAGGAATGGTGTAGCTCCTCTGTTGGCTCCTTAAAGAATCTGTTTCCTGTTTGGTTCAAAGTCTTTCTTGGCATTGGAGGTTACTGAGCAGACAGGGCAGTGCTGTCGGACCTTACGTTTAGAGTGCTCTCCAGGGCACCTGTCTTCCCTGGACACTCAGCACGCCCCTTGGGGGAAGGACTTGTCACCTCACAGAGGGGGACAACGGTCAGGTAGGGAGCCCCTGTCAGGGATGCAGCAGGCTGATGCAGGGTGCAGGCTGGGCTCCCTCATGAGAACCACCAGCAATTCTAGATGCTGATGGAGAAAGCCCACGAAAGGCAGCCCTGACAGGGGCAGCGCAGCAAGAAGGCCAACATCCCCGGGCTGACCCCCATCCTGCCACTGGCTGGTGGAGGACCTGCAGCAAGTCACTCCTTTCCAGGGGCCTCGGTTTCCCCATTGTGGGGCAGATGTGGCACCTGGGCTCCTCTGGCAGCTATAGGAGCGTCATTGTGCCCGGGGTATCAGGTACTCGGGAATGGCAGCACCCGTTACGATCTGTTGGCAGCGTTAAATAGACGCACTTGATCAGAAACGTGGAAGAGATACAGAAGGTGATTCTCCAGTGGCGTTCCAAGAGCAGTAGGCACAGGCAGGAACTTCACAGCACTTTTGTGTTCTGGGTGCATAAGGAGTGAGAGGATGCACCCACACACACGAGAAGGCTGTGGGTGTGACGTGTGCACGTATATGTTGTATGCATGTGACACATATTTACTGAGTATGTTATATGTGTCAGGTCATGTTCTAGGCCCTGGGATATGGCTGTGCAGATGTGGTCCTGCCCTCAGGGGGCAGCCGTTGGGGCGGGGCAGACTGTGCATGTCTGTGTGGGCACCTGTTCTCTTCCGTGTGCCCTGGCGGAAGTGAGAAGGGGCAGTACCTTGTTCATTCTGTGTTCCCTGCACCGCACTTGTGCCTTGTACCTCCTGACTGTCCAGTCCCCGCAAGATGAGTCAACCTCCCAGAGACGGAAGCAGAGGAGAGGAGGGCCTGGCTCCCAGTACCTCTTCATGGAACACCTAGAGGACACCGCCAGACACAAGGCCAGCTAGGGACTGGTCCTTGGTGGAGTTGGTCTGACCTTCTCTCCAAGTGTTTCTGTCTTCCCCAGTGCCTGTGACGCTGGATGTCTGTTCCCAGGCCTGACCTGGCTCTTGCACCCCGTCCCCAGCCGCAGGGAGGAGCCCGACAGATACCTTGTGCACGCCCTGCTGTTGGACAACAGTGGGACTGAAGTCTCTGTTGAGACAGGGCGGTCACAGCCCCAGGGCCAGGGCTGCACGCTGTCTGGTGCCAGCACATCCACACTGGCTTTCTTCTTCTCTCCCGAAGCCATGGCGCAGGGGGCTCAGCCCTCATCTGCCCCAGACACCTCTGTCCCCCTCTACCTCCATGTCAGTCCTGCCACCTTGGCAGAGCTGCACACCCACCCAACTAGTCTGGGTGGGCCACTCCCTGGTGCCACCTCCAAGGGCCTAGGCCTTTGCTTTCAAGCTTTTCTGGCTTTGTTTTTGGTCATGAAACACACACAAAAAAGGCTGTTGCCACTGTCTTCCCTGCTGTATACCCCAGACCACCAGGATCTAGAGACTGGGTGCCCCTGGGACAGGGTGGAGGCCACCTCTCAGTCCTTGGTCCTGGCCCAGGTTCAGAGGTTCTTCTGCCACATCAAACCCTCCCTGGGCTGCTCTGCTGCACGTGGGACAGAGGCCTTGTCCCAGAACTGGGCCATGGCTGAAGTTCTAAAACACGCCCCAGGAGCCAGCACGGCAGCAGGTAGGGCGCTGTGCAGACCAGTGGGCTCCTGCAACTGCCCTGATGAGGGGTATGAGGACACACAGGCACAAGGGCACAATGAAATGTCTGACCCGAGTCAGGGGTTCTGAGCCACAGCCCACTGGAGGGCATGTCACACAGTCTTACCAGAGGAGTGCTGGGTTTTGGGGTGGCAGGGAGCCTCTGATGCTGTCTGATCCCCACAATCCTCCTGAGCCTCATTTTCTGAAAAACTGGGCAGGAGCTGAAGACTCTTTCCTTCCAAGCAGACAGACAGGCCCAGGCTGCCCCTTCAGATCTGAGGGAGGCAGACAGCCTCTCCGGACACATTCCTGGCCCTCCCCTGCCACACACAGGAACCCACACACCCACACACATGCTGGCATCCACCAGGGGTCTTCAGCAGGGTGGTGATGTCCACAGGTGCCCTCATCTGTACTCACTCACTGCCTGTAGCACTGGCACGCACACATGGAAACCTGAGCAGACAGAGACAAAGTCACCACGTGTGAACACTCAGCCTCTATAATGTTCCCTCCATGGGCTCCTCCTGCCCCAGGACTCACAGTGCTGAGCATGGAGCCTAGGAATCTCTGCCCACTTCCAACTGCTTTTCGGTCTCCTCAGCCCCCTCAGTGGCAGCCTTCTGATCCATCAAAGGGGCATGGTGACTGTGACAGAGCGAGAGACGCCTGCACGTGAACTTTGAGCCCGACAAGGTTAAGGCTGCGGGCTCTGTCAGGGAGGCAGGGCAGACCCCTGGGGACCTGACATGGGGCTGTTTAACAAGCTGCGGACCCACATGCAGAAGAATGAGACTGGACCCTTATCTCACACTACTCACAAGAATCCACTCAAAATGGATTAAGTCGTAAACACGAGACCTGAAACCATAAAAATACTAGAAGAAACAGGAAAAATGCTTCTTGACATTGGTCTGGGCAACGATTTTTTGGATGTGGTACCAAAAGCACAGGCAGCAAAAGCAAAAATAGACAAGTGGAATTTAATCAAATTAAAAAGTTTCTGTGCAGCAAAGGAAACAACAGAGTGAACAGGCAACCTATGGAATGGGAAAATACATTGCAAACCATATATCTGATAAAGGGTTAGTATCTAAAATATGTAAGTAACTCATACAATTAAATAGCAAAAAACCCCAAATAATCCGATTTAAAAATGGTTACAGGGGGCCGGCCAAGTGGCGTAGCGGTTAAGTTCCCGAGCTCCACTCCGGCGGCCCGGGGTTCTAAGGTTCGGATCCCGGCTCAGACTGACACGCCGCTTGTCGAGCCATCCTGTGGTGGCGTCCCATATAAAATAGAGGAAGATGGGCACGGATGTCAGCCCAGGGCCAGTCTTCCTCAGCAAAAAGAGGAGGATTGACATG